CCGTGCCGGCCGTATTTAAGCGATATCTTATCACCTGATTAAGATATCGTTATGTGACTAAGTTAGCCTAGAGGATGAGACGATTATCCTAACCATCAAGGGTTTGTGTAATTTCATAGTGTGACAAAGTCACTACACTGTGCCATTTTATTAGGGTCACTTATATTTACCAATATCCTCAAACTCAAATGAACGTGTCCATATACTCTCATTTTTTTAGAGCAAACGTAATTTAAATGGCTAAACACAATTCAATAAAATTTGGCTCGATCCGATTATCCAAACTATCAAATAAATGCGAAAATGAACCTTCTTTTGAAAACAATGAACACAAATATGTTTCGATTTGACAAATTTCTCGAACCAGTGGTGGTAGTAAGTAATACCAGAACCAATTATTTCAATTGGGCACTCAGTGACTGAGCTATTAATGCCAACGTTTGCACGCTGACTTTTGGCCCACCCTGTATATTTATAATATACGGCTGGAAAAAATGTAACTGGATATCTGCCACAATGCTGCTATTATTAAGGTTAAAGTAACATTTAGCACATAAAGAAGTCTGGTTTGCTAGGTTTTAATTGGTCGTATAATAACAAATAAAAATGAGTTAAGACTACAAAAACGGTCGATAGAACCTAATTATAATACCTGTATCGAGAACTCGACTTCAATGCACTGATAGCGTTGGTACTAACATTCTATCAAATTATGTCATATCTTGAGACTTGATAGCTGCCTGAAACAGTTTTGAGTCAACATTATCGTGATATTCTAGAAATTGAAACCAATTCTCAACTTTAAAAAAGCAGGTTTCAATAAATGCCATAGAATTAAATTCTACCTTTTTAAATTTTAAGAATTTGTTGATTTATTAAAATTCTGTCTCAATTAATATATAAGGGTACATGCAATGTATTTCGACACGCACTGTAGACTCACTTATTGGATTCGTGCTAGATGCTGTGTACGTCACCCTCTTAACCACCTCTATGGCGAAGATGAGGATGGTAAGTGCAAGTACAGTAATGTGAGGAGAGGATGGGTATCATTTAGCACATTTTTGCTGTAGGTTTAAAGTAGCTCTTAGTCAAGGAGTATATAAATGACGGCACGACAAGGTTCTGCAACAGATCTCTGAACATGTTATCTTGTGAGCGCCGAGTGAACACTTATAAGAACAAGGCCAGCGATGTAAGACAGTATCATTGACTTAGTCCATGCTGGGAGGAAAAAAGCAAGTACAGACGACCGAAAGGAGTCGTGGTTTGGGATCCTGAGTGGGTCTCGATATTGGATAGTGCTTTTATATATCGGACCTTATGATATTCTCAAGGTCACCAAGACGGCACAGTCTTATGGCGGGAGGTAACGGTACCATCTAAAGAGCAGATTGCTGAATCATACAAGTAAAAACTCTACCGGTACAGCAGTCTTACAGCAGACTGAGATTCAAGCGAAAGAATTGTGCTGTTATAATTATGCGGTTAAAGTTCTAGCACCGGGAGTAGTTGTTCACGGTTTGGAGAGAGCTGAGTAGGCTAGTACGGGATAGAAGTGAAGAAGCAGCTCACTGTTCCAGATGGATCTACTTCTTATCAAGGAAGAAGGAGTGGTAGGTATAGTAAGGAAGATTGGAGCCTAAGAGTTAACTTAACATCTAGAGGTACCACAAACTTTATCTCGTCGCCAATTGCGAGCTTTAACGGGTTTCCTCAAGTGACTCGATGGTTTAATTGTGACAAATCATGATACGAACTTTGATGAACCCATAATAGTATAGTGCAATAATACTATGATAGTATTCTCATAAGTTCTACCCTTGCAACTGAGTACAATGTACATACTAAGTGATATCAAGCTGCAATCTAAAATTTATTAATTGAATCTCAAAATAACTTCAAATTTTACCTAATAATTGCGACATCGTTGGAAGTGAGAAATAAAATACATTAAATTTTAATCCAATTCTGCGAGAGAAGATTTGCCCAGACAGCTGACAAGAATGTATTACCATACTTCCTGTAAATGTGGTAGTTATTAGGTCATATCAAACTTGAAAATTATGTCAAAGTTTTTCTCAGTCTCTGGTGTCAATCACCAGTAGAGTGCCCAGCCGCACCAAAACAACCTGCGATTTTTACGTGGGAAACATCGTATAATACACATGCTATACACTCTAGTTTTATAGCAGCTACTGATATCATGCGGCAGTATTAATAAGCATACAAATTCAGCGCAAAAAATTGTAAAGACGACACAAATTCATGCGGGATGTTAATAAATGTGTCCATGTTGAACTCAAACTCCGACAGAATAATATTTCAAATCGGATATATTATAATTAATCAAATGGTATCTGCTCATGTTCCGTCTATATAAACTACAAAACTTAATAAATTAGTGAAGTTCTGAAACAAAGATCACGACTAGGTTTTATCAAAATTGAAAAGAAAACCGATCGAAGTGCACTAGAGATATAGTTTAAGTTTAAAGGGTCATCATTACTAAAATCTCTTCCTAGCTCCTAGCAATCAAGTTGTTAATCCTAGTTCTACACCTAAACAAGTACAAAATTACAGCCTTACATTTTGAAATTTTTCGATATCCAGCTCAACATAAGACTTCGATACCAATAATGCATAATGGGTACATACCGATGATCGGTGTTCGTAAATATTTGATTATTTATAGTATTGAAGTTTAAAATCTTCCTAATTATGTAAGAATAACAAAAGGAATCACGTACTAGTGTGCTGTTACGAAAAACAACTATTTAATAAAAATAAATTAACAGTATTCGAGTACAAAATTAAAAATACAAACTCCAACATAATCGACAGACAAACTCAATAAATGAAGATTTCGTCGTGAAACGAGCTATATATACAGCTATAACGTAGCGCTCGACTCCAGTCTGAACCAAAATTAAGTCGCGTTCGTAGGAAATTGACCACCAGCTGCTGGTGGTTCGAATGTTGGTTTGCACACTACTGTGGTTGCGAGAAGCATTATTTGATGCGCGCGCGACCCAGTAGTGCATCGCGCTACAAAAGCATATCCAACCATTACTAATGGTTGGATATGCTTTAAATTTTTCGGACATTATGTTACAGCTAAAAGCAGCGTATTTTGCCCCATTTTGATCACTATATCAACTCCGATATCCAACAAATTTTTCGGACAGTTGTGAAAGCCCTATTGGAAGGTCGTCGCCAATTTCCAGAATGATCTCATTTAAGGAACTGAAGATAAATCCGAATAATACGACAAAAATGGTCGAATTTGGTCAAATTACGCAACTTTTACAGTTACTTTTGCTTCAAAAGCCTTGACGGATGTTACTCGTCTAAATTTCTTCGAAGTAGCGCGCGCCGCTTTCTTCTCGAAAGGCAAGAGCTACGAAGTAGCGCGCGCTGGGTCAGATCATTAAGTTTAACAATGGTCAACAAAAGCCGCGCACCATCAAATATGGCACCTATGCGAAACTCACTGATCTTTCCAAAAAGGTATGACAAATTTGGTATTGTGAAAATTCTCACAGTCTCTAGAGAACATGCATGAACAGTTGTTGGTTGTACAAAAATTTTTAAAATCCGAGTAAGTTTATTTTTATTGTACACCCCCTAAATGCTAAAGCCCAAAGTCACTGCTGCTATGGGCGCGCGCGCGACAGCAGCAGTTAGCACATAGCAGCAGTGAGCAGCAGTTTCTTTGCACTATAGTCCTCCTGTGTTGTGTGTAGTGCCAATGGATCTACCAAAATAGGATCCATTTTTTTGTCCCATTTTCAGTTTTTGAAGATGAAATTTCCAGGATCGAAATTTTACAGTCTTGACCGAATTTTTCTCTCCTGCGATCAATTACTCAGTCAGCTCTAAATGGAAAATGACACGATTGAGGTACTACTACTGGAAGTTTGATTTCGGTCGGAGGAAGCTCACAGTTGACGGATGTTACTCGTCTAAATTTCTTCGAAGTAGCGCGCGCCGCTTTCTTCTCGAAGGCAAGTGCTACGAAGTAAAATATGTATTTTCCAAATTCTGTCCCATTTTCAAATATGAAAATTTCTGAACACAAATTGACAGATTGGATGAATTTTTTGCCCACAAACCAATAAGTCAGTTAATTAATGATGATATGAAACCAAATTGAGGTACTGGAAGTCAAAATCTCGAAGAAAATTGCAAAATCGTGTTGTCCCAAATTCTGTCTCATTTTCAGTTTTTGAAAATGAAATTTCCAGGACCGAAATTTTATAGTTTTGACCGAATTTCTCTCCTGCAACCAATTAGTCAGTCAACAATAGATGGCAAATGACACGATTGAGGTGCTGGAAATTTGATTTCGGTTGGACTATAGGAAGCTCACAGCAGAAAGTTTAAGTTTAACAAAACGAAAATGTGTATTTTCCAAATTCTGTCCTATTTTCAAACATTGAAATTTTTGAACACAAATTCGACAGATTGGATGAATTTTGTTGCCCACAAACCGATTAGTCAGTTAATTGATGATGGTATGAAACAAAATTGAGGTACTGGAAGTCAAAATTCTGTCCCATTTTCAGTTTTTGAAGATGAAATTTCCAGGACCAACATTTTACAGTTTTTACCGAATTTCTCTCCTGCAACCAATAAGTCAGTCAACTATAGATGGCATATGACACGATTGAGGTGCTGGAAGTTTGATTTCGGTCGGAGGAAGCTCACAGCAGAAAGTTTAACAAAACGAAAATGTGTATTTTCCAAATTCTGTCCCATTTTCAAATATGGAAATTTCTGAACACAAATTTCAAAGATTGGATGAATTTTTTGCCCACAAACCAATTAGTCATTTAATTGATGATGGTATGAAACCAAATTGAGGTACTGGAAGTCAAAATCTCGAAGAAAATTGCAAAATCGTTTTGTCCCGAATTCTGTCCCATTTTCAGTTTTAATTATACATATGTAACATTAAGACAAATAAATTCAAAACGAAATGAAACCGTTCCAACGCATAATATATTAAAAACGTAAAATACGTACAACTGATAATAATTGATCGTTGTCGGTCGGTCCTATAATAACTAATACTATGTACTATGTATATTGTATAACTATATGAGTTTATAAATCAGTTGAATAAGCAGCACGTTAATCAAAATTTAATCAAAATAAAGAAACCTACAACTTCTAGTCCTATTCACAAAATTGTTAATTGTTTAAGTTTAACACAGAAATATAATGTTTTTAATAAAATCTAAAAACTAAGCTGCACATTCTCCCTCAGAGTTCGTATCAGTGCCCTTACTAGAAAAATATTTCGTTACAAAATGCCAAGTAGCCAAGATAGGCATAGGAAGAACAGGGCCCATAACCATCACGGCCCCAATTATCTGGGCCCACCAGGGGAAAGGAACATCCCTGGTCCATTCTTTGGCTCCCACAGGGTCAAGGGGATCGCAACCTGTGTATATTGTGTACTCTGCTGGTTTCATACACTGCTTTACTAGACTCGCTATCAGGATTACTGTCTGAAACGGACCCCAAATTAGATTTACAGAATCTTTTGGTATCAATGACAATATCAATTTTGTCAGTAAATCTTAAGACCAAAGCGTCCGATCTTATTTAATGTCTCATAATCAGAATTGAAATGCAGTGAATCGTTTGTAGACAATCAGATATCCGATTGAGTTATCTTACAATTAATGTAGGTGTTGAATGTTGATATTATTTGTGATGACATTTCAAGATTTATTCGAACTTCAAACACATGCCAGGACACAGAAGAATGCCCAATTTACTCAAGTAAATTTTCCAAATTTCCACTTCAAACACTCACAACAACGATAGGTGATATGAACTTCCAGCAGAGTTTCCAGTAGATGTGAGGTTGAGATCCGGTCATGTACTCGATATCCTCGCAGAACTTGTCCAGGTCGTAGAACCACGCCACCACCACACACTCTGCAACACCTGCACGTGTGAATTAGTAATTAGTAAATAGTAATTAGTAAATTAGTAAAGACTTTTTCGTATTTGGAGGGGAAATAGTGTGCTTGGTGAAATGCTCCTGTTTGAGATGTTACCATATTCGGCAGTATCGAGATAGCCCGACCACTGTCCGCGGACCACTGTCTGCGGACCACTGTCTGCGGACCACTGTCCGCGGACAGTTGTCCGCAGACACCTGTCTACCAGATCATATTACTGTATAATAACACTACTATATAACAAATAATTTGAGCATGAATAAGATTTAAGAAGTTGTTACTTTGAAACGTCGTTTATCCTAACAGTGCAATATCATTTGTCGCAAATCAGAATAATCAGAAACTATTTGGAAAACCCAAAAACTGACTATTGTATAATAACAGTATCCCCTGAATCAAGCAACAGGTGTTTGTGAATAGTTCATTGGTTACCAGATCATATGAATGGTATGTATGGTATCTTGGATGCAATTAGTTACGATTTGCATAATTAATTGTATCGTAGTAAATTACTGGATCAAACTATTGATTACGATTCAAATGTGGTCTCTTGGATATAATTAGTTACGAATAATATTTATTGCTCAATGAAATAAATGATTACGGTTAAAATGTGGTATATAAGTCGTTCGTTTTTGGTGAAGTATTATCAGTTGCCATCATCAACAACAACAACTATTCCAATTTGTCTCCATCTATCGTGTCTTGAGGAGTTGGTGGAATGGAGTCCGGGAGTTGATGCTCAGGACAAAGCTTTGTTATCTTTTTTGTAGTAGAATGTAGGATCCCATCGAGGACTGAAGATTCTCGGTGGACATTCATAACAACGCAGTTGTTACATTTGGAGCGGACACGAGGAGCATGAGCAGAGGAGTTAGCAAGACCTCCGGCATCAGAAGATGCTACAGGGTCATGAGCAGCGCATGATATACCAGCATGCCTCTTGTTGCAGGAAACGCAGAAGCTTGGGTTGGCTCTGGAGACGATGAGGGTTTTACCAGCTTGAGTCCACTTGTCGAGAGGTGAGATAGGTTTGCAGATAGGGTCGCAGGGTAGGGCTGAGTTCATCCGTTTCGTTTTCTCTGAGACCATAGTTGTAGTTGTTCAAGAAGGAGTTGATGATAGAAATGATTTATGCAGTCTGATAATAGTTATTTCTTTATATATTGCATGATGTGAACTGATCTCGTAAGGTTGCTTAATCGTTTAATAAGCCTTGACACCACCGCTGATTGGAATTCGCGTGCGATGATGTGAACCCTTTCTTTAATCAGGGGTGATGTGTTGAAACCTGCTTGATTTCATGGATGAGAGTGAACCCTGCTTGATTCAGGGGATTACTGTTAAGTATACAGTAAATTTGATCAGGTAGACAGTTTCCGCGGACAGTGGTCCGCAGACAGTGGTCCGCAGGACAGTGGTCCCGACAGTGTCCGGCAGACAACCCTGTCTACCAGATCATAATACTGTATAATAACACTACTATATAACAAATAATTTGACGCATGAATAAGATTTAAGAAGTTGTTACTTTGAAACGTCGTCTATCCTAACAGTGCAATATCATTTGTCGCAATCAGAATAATCATAAACTATTTGGCAAAACCCAAAAACTAACTATTGTATAATAACAGTATCCCCTGTATCAAGCAACAGGTGTTATGTTGAATAGTTTCATTGGTTACCAGCTCATATGAATGGTATGTATGGTATCTTGGATGCAATTAGTTACATTTGCATCATTAATTGTAATCGTATAATTACTGGATAACTATTGATTACGATTCAAATTTGGTCTCTTGATATAATTAGTTACGAATAATAATTTATGGCTCATTAAATAAATGATTACGTTAAAATGTGGTAATAAAAGTCGTTCGTGTTGGTGAAGTATTATCATTTGCCATCATCAACAACAACAACTTTTCCAATTTGACTCCATCCTATCGTGTCTTGAGGAGTTGGTGGAATGGATTCCGGGAGTTGATGCTCAGAACAAAAGCATAGTTATCTTTTTTGTAGTAGAATGTAGGATCCCCTCGAGGACTGAAGATTCTCGGTGGAACATTCCATAACAACGCAGTTGTTACCTTTGGAGCGACACTAGGAGCATTAGCAAGGATAGCAAGACCGTCCGCATCAAAGAGTGCTACAGTGGTCCATTGAGCGAGCGCATGATATACCAGCATGCCTCTTGTTGCAGAAACGCAAGAATCTTTGGTTTGGCTCTGAGACGATGAGGGTTTTACCAGCTTGATCCACTTGTCGAGAGGTGAGATAGGTTTTGCAGATAGGGTCGCCCAGGTAGGCGAGTTCCATCCGATTTCGTTTTATCTCTGAGACCATAGTTGAGTTGTTCAAGAAGGAGTTGAAGATCGAAATGATTTATGCATCTGATAATAGTTATCTTATATTTGCATGATGTAACTGAATCTCGTAAGGTTGCTTAATCGTTTAATAGACATGGACACCACCGCTGATTGGAATTCGCGTGCGATGAAGTGAACCCTGCTTGACACAGGGGATGATGTGACCCTGCTTGATTCAGGGGATTATGTGATCCTGCATATTCAGGGGATACTGTATTATACAGTAATATGATCTGGTAGACAAGGTGTCCGCGGAACAGTGGTCCGCAAAGACAGTGGTCCGCCAGACAGTGGTCGCGACAGTGGTCGGCTATCTCCGATACAGCCCCATAAATCAATTAACTGATTCAGTTCAACGATTTAAGTTACCGAGAACCTTACATTAGTAATAAATAAATAATTATAGTGATGATCAGAGCAGTCCAACGTTTAATTATTTTGTAGTTATAATAGACAAAAACGTTAGACGGAGCGGAAACCATGGTCTGGACTGATAGCTTGATAAAAATTCCACGAGCCATGTGTACCAAGCAAGAGTAATAACTGTACTACTGATAAATTCTAGCAGAATTGCAATGCAACACATACCATATGACCTGAAATATTGCGATAATATGGCGATAATAACCATGATTAGTGCAAAAAGTATCTAAATTAGAATTAAGAAAATACCTATAGAAGCGAAGCTGATATAGCCTACAGAAAGGTATCCACAACACAAAGACATAGAGTCCAGACTGAGTACACATGGGTAGTCCGAGTAGACAGAGAAGTACACACAAGATAAGACACAGAACCTGAGGAGTGAGGAATGAGGATAGAGAGATTATAAAGTACAGTAATAAATTGAGATTAAAACTAACTTTTACTCTAAGAATTAGAGCAGGACTATCAAACTAAACCCGATCGAGAACTACTGTCTAAGCTGACTACATTATCTATGCTGATAAATAAATAACTTTGCTAAAATCTAAATAATTCTAAAATAACTCGCTGCTGACAATGTGTACCTCTTTTCTAATCTTCTGAAAGAAAGGGTAATCCTGTAACGGTCCCACACAAGCCTCAATAGTCCCAAACTCCGAGTCTATAGCAAGGAGAACCATCATGAAAAAGAAAGCAGCTGCCCACAACTGGGGTAGGGGCATCTGTGCTACTGCTGTAGGGTAAGCTATGAAGGCGAGACCCCGGAACCGCCTGACATGTCCGATAGTATTTCCTACCTATACCTGTGGAAACACAACTCTAACAACTAATTAACTTGTAGTTGTAGCAGGAAACGCCAGAATCTAGCTGGGAAACCTTTTTGAAATCGAATTATGTCAGAGAAGGCAAACTATAAAGATATGCGATGCCGATAGTTCGTCGCGCTGCTGCTGTCTTGAAGCCTATAGTTAACAGCAGTGTTAGTGCGTTTACATAAGTTGTTAACTGCTCTACCAATTAATTTAAGTTGAACTGAAGAGAGTTGCTGTCGTGTTTTTTATGCAGAATAGTTACAACGAAAACGACACCAAAGATACTATCCAGCTATAAATGACACTTATAACAATATTAATATCTGGATCTTACAGTTTATACCCATATATCTACGCGTTTATTAGGTTACAAGAGTGATGGCCACAATAGTTAGTCAGCCCTTAGTCTCGCCATTAACGTTGTGTAAAACTTTTAAACACATCTTCTAGTGTAAATACCCAAAATTATTACGTATTTCATCCCAAGCAGAACAGCAGTCTCTAAATTGAATTAAAAAACTTAAACTTGAATAATTAATTTACAAACGAAAATCTTGGTCCTTGTAACTCTATTGCTTATATCTAATTCTGCAGATCTGATCAGTATTATCCCGCAAAGACACACAACAACATTCAACACCAGCGCACAAATAAAATATAGGAATTCGAAGGAAGTAGAAGCAAGATCCGGTCCCTGTGCTATTTCGGATATCGGCTGATATGTGAACTCTTTACAGAGGAATTCATGACTTGGCGACATCTTAGGATTCAGGAATGCAGGTTCTCGAATCTCGATCCATTGTCCACCAATTTACAGTAGAAGCCAAAGTGAAACATTCCACTTTGAGCCAGGTATCACAACATGACACATACCCCGAATCTGGCGAATGTTAATTATCATTATCACCAAAGTCAGGATGGTAACGGAAGGTATGGGCATGATTTGGAAAGAATGTTGTATGATTTGGAAAGAATGTTGTATGATAGAAGGACGGGATATAATATCATCCCAGGCTGGGATGGATATCATCAGTCTTGGAACTGTCAGGTATCGTGAAGCGTTAAAAGAGTCTCGTAGATGGAACATCAAAACACTGGTCCTGGTGTTCGACTGGTACAATAAAAATGAACGTAGCGGGTTATTTCAAAATGATCCTTGGTGCTTAGTTAACCAGGTTGGTTTTTCGACTCCCACCATATTTGTAGTGTGATATTTAACAAAGGGTTTGAGATTTTAGATAGATCTGGAAATGGGATTCACATTACTCAGCTGCCCAAGAGTGAGATAGCTAACTGTCTGGTGACCGGTGTTCAAAAACTCTCTATGCGAAGCGAGAAAGTTCGAAAGCACTGGCCATTAAGGCGGGAGTTTGTCTCGCTCTTGCCTGGTAACTAACGGTTAAATACAAACTCACAAAGCCGTACCCCAGCCTACTACTTATACTTGCCGCGCCAAAATTTTCACAAAATTTTTACAAAATCTTTAAGGGATTATAGCTTACATCTTATGGTTATAATGAAAACCCTCGCATGAAAATATATAGTCATGCCCGTGCTCTTATCAGCTTATCGTAAGTTACTAGAATTCTTGCCCGAGTTTTTTAAACACTTTAGAATAGTTCTGAAATCAGTACTGCTATCGTAATATTGTAATATTGTAGACTACGTTACGATTCTATCTACACACAGAGCTGTATAGTTCTTGATAGGTAGGTCTAACAAGTTTTCTTTTTCATCTTTACGCTTTCTCAGCACACAGTTTATTCCTCATTCATTCACACGCACACACATTAGCTTTTTATACATATTCTTAGACTGTACAAGCTATTCTATACACCATACTATACACTCTTATCTATTTAATATTTTACTTAATTATTCACAGATATCTGGTATTTACACATCTTGATTCTTGAACAATGGTTGAACCTAGTTTCAAATCACAATGCTCAAGTTGCTTCGGGTGGTCTTATGCTCCTAGAAATGTTTTCATTTGTCCTGTATGTGACAAACCAGTTCATAAAAAATGCCTCAAAGATTATCTTGGTTGTATTACATGCTGTCTAAACCTAATACCTGGTTATAGAGTAACTTCCTACGAACTTAATGATAATTACAATACAATAACCCCCACTTTTAACCCCTATATTCGTTCTCACGTACTGAATCAAATAGGCGAACTTACTGATGAAATAGATTCCAGCGAAATCGATCTCAACAATTGTATATCGGAGATATTGGTTAGCTGTAAGTACCAACACCCTGATAATATCAAGACCCCTAGCAATCGCGAATTTAAGATACTTTCGTTAAACGTTAGATCACTCGTGAAGAATATCTCAAATTTTAGTGAAGAAATAGAAACATTCTCCAAATTTGACCTCATCTGCCTCAATGAAACCAACTGTAAAATTTCTAATCTTCCTAATGGTCTGAACGACATTGAAATCGAACAGTTTTACGAGCCCTTTATCAAAGAACCTGCACGTAAATCTGGAAAAGGAGGTGGTCTTGCGCTCTATGTTAACAAACGCGTTTGTGATTACGATAAAATACAGGAACTCGAACTCAATCTGAGTCCAGAAGAAGTTACTTGCGGAGAATTTCAATTGCTTAAAATCAACAATTTTAAAAACGGAAATAAGACAAAAATCATCGTAAATTTCTACCGCTCGCCATCCACAAGCCCTAAAAAATTCCTTGAAAAGTTTGAAAACGTGCTCAGGGGTCTTGATAGACACTCCAGAAAGCAGATAGTCTTCCTGGGTGATGCAAATATTGATCTTATAAAATACGATACCGACGCTTACAGCCAGGATCTTATAAGCTTACTAGAAAAATATGGGTTTGCCCAGACTGTCTCCAAGCCTACCAGGGTAACTGACCACAGTGCAACGCTTATTGATCACGTGTATACTAATCACGTGACAAACGTTATTAGTTGTAATGTCGTGACGTTGGATATGTCAGATCATCTCGCGGTTAGCACGACCATTAGTTTAGGAGCCACACCTAGTTTGAACGAGCGATTCCGTAGTCAACGTGTAAAGAACAACAACACTAGCTTGAAATTAGAGGCCCGTGTATTTAACGAAGCTAATCATGCTAAATTCAAAGAGCTTATTGTAAGTGAGACCTGGGATGATGCTACCTCCTCAACGTGCGCTGATGAACAATACAATTCCATCTATCAAACGTACATGAAACACTACAATACTGCATACCCCCTGAAGCGCGACAGTTCGAGAAGAAAATTCGAAAGAGCTGACCCAAAGCCTTGGATCTTACCCTGGCTTGAGGCGGCATGCAACCGCAAGAAGTTACTTTTTTTTGAAAAAACTATAAATCCATCACAAAAAAACTGCGACGCGTATGATAAAATGAAAAAGTTTTGTCACAAACATGTGAATCTAGCCAAAGAAAAGTACTATAAAAAAATGTTTGACAAATACCAAAACTGCTCTAAAAGTCAATGGAAAATTATCAATGGCCTCCTGAACCGTAACAGAAAAAAGTTCGGACACACCCGTCTGAAGGACGACGATGGCACGATTATAAGCTCCGATCTGGCAGTCGCTGAGAAATTTAACGGCTACTTCTCCGGTATTGCAGCCAGTATCAAGAGGCAAATCGCTGCCCGTCGAACCTTTGACCCAGGTGGTTTCAAGCATTTTCTTAAGGCTTCGTGTAGTAACTCGATGTTTCTTAAGCCTACATCACACGGTGAAGTCCAAAAGATAATATCAGGGCTTAAGAACAAGTCCACACTCGATTGTAAAATTGAGCCATTGAAAATTGCAAACAGCTGCGAAAACTTTACCAGGGCACTAGCTAATGTCATTAACTGTTCGTTCTCCAGTGGTACCTTCCCAAATGCTCTAAAAACTGCGAAAGTCGTTCCTATCCACAAAGGTGGTTCAAAATTGGAAGTAGCTAATTATAGGCCGATCTCTCTTTTGGGATCATTCTCGAAAATTTATGAGAAACTTATGCATGCTCGTGTTTTAGAATTTTTAGATAAGAACGATTCTCTTTTCGAAAATCAATACGGATTTCGGCCAGGAAGATCGTGCGAACATGCACTGCTCAATGCCCAAAATTCCATACTACACTCTCTGAATAAGAAACAAATTTCCCTACTGCTCCTGCTCGATTACAGTAAAGCCTTTGACGTGCTTGATCATGAGACCTTGCTTAAGAAGCTTGACCATTATGGGATCAGGGGAGTCGCGCACGAATGGTTTAGATCTTACCTTTGTAATCGATCTCAATACGTAACTTTAAACGGAACTTGCTCTTCTAGCATGCCCATAGTTTACGGCGTACCGTACCTCAGGGTAGCATTTTAGGACCTCTCTTATTTGTAATTTATATAAACGACCTACCTGGAATTAGTGATTTTGCAAAGTTCATCCTTTATGCCGACGACGCAAACATATTAATTAGTGGAACCACCCTAGAAGAAATACAATTAAAAGCTAATCAGCTAATTTCACGTCTTGTAGATTGGGTAGGTGTTAATGGGCTATCTTTAAATGTAAAAAAGACGTGTTACATGATTTTCACTAGAAAAAGAATCGACTTCAGCGGCTTTAATTTGTCCATTGACAACACTGTAATCGAACGTAAGACTGAAGCAAGATTTTTAGGAGTGATCCTAGACGAAAAGCTCACTTGGCAAAAACACATTACGGCCGTTAGAATAAAGATGGGTCGCTACCTCGGAGTTATGTATAAGCTAAAGCACCTTCTACCTATCAAAGCCCGCCTAAACATTTTCCAAAGCCTTATCCAATCCCATCTAAATTTCTGTTCTTTAGTGTGGGGATTTGCCTCAAAATGTCACATTGAATCTCTGTTCACCAAGCAAAAGCAGGGAATTAGAGCTGTTATGTCAGGATATGTAAATTATAGATATAAAGACGGCAATCCCCCGGAGCACACAAAAAGTGCGTTTAGATTGCATAATATCCTAACAGTCCATAGCGTCATTGTAAAAAAC